TATATATGAACAGTTAAAGCTTAATGTCATGAAACCCTAGTTTGGTTCAGGCTTGAGGCCTAGCTTGGTTCAGCCTGCCACCTCAATACTTTTTCAGTTGATTCTGGATCAACTTCCATAACACTTCCAGCAAAGGGAGGGGTGGAAATTCTACAATTCTTTGTTGGGATTATATTCACTAAGAATGACAAATCCTGAGAATTGTAGGTTTCGTTTTAAGACTAGATGGACAGTTTCCAAAATGTCTGGAAAGCCCGATCAATCACTACAGATTTGCTACACCAGGGGTTGGCAACCCACATGTGGCTCTTTCATCCCTTTGCTGTGGCTCCCTGTCGTCGGTCGGCTCCACAATTGATAGGGTTATCGGTTAGGACAGTGATGGCTAACCTTTTTTGGCTCCCGTGTCAAAAGCAGGGGGGGACGCAGGGGGGTTGTGCATAAGTGTGCCAGACCCATAGTACTATGCCTTCGACCCAGCGCCCCCCCGCTTTTGGCACAGTTTTTTCGCCCTCCTCAAGCTCCAGAGGCTTTCTAGGAGCCTGGAGAGGGAGAAAACAACCCCACCCCACCCCCGGAGGCACTCCTGAAGTCCCTCAAGGGTGAAAACGGCGCTATGGGGAACCCGGAAGTCTGGGAACTGTGACTTCTGGTTTGTCCGTAGGGCCGTTTTTCAGCCTCATGAACCTTCAGGAGGCTTCCCTGAAGAGTCCAGATGGTGAAAAACAATCCTACGGACAAACCGGAAGTCTGTTCTTGAATTTCTGGTTTGCCCGTAGGGCCGTTTTTTTGCATTCTTAAAGCCTCCAGAGGGCAAAAAAACAGCCTCAAAATAAGGCTGAAGTCAGCTGGACAGCACATGCATGCGCGCTGGAGCTGACTGGGCAACACCTTGCGTGCCCTAACAAATGGCTCCGTGTGCCACCTGTGGCATGCGTGCCATAGGTTCGCCATCATGGGGTTAGGACAAGTTGAGGAAAAAGGATGTGCGCTAGGAGGAGACTCTATGGTGGTGGAACTGGACTTCTGGTTGGTTCCAGAATTGAACGGGGGGCTTCAGGTTAGGACCTTTGGGGCTCTTTGAGTGTTTAAGGTTGCCGACCCCTGTGCTACACCAATTTCTTTTCCAAAGATACTTTTTCAGGAGGCAATTGAACGTTCTCATTTCTTTCTATGAAGACGTTTCGCTCCTCCTCCAAGAAGCTTCTTCAGCTCTGACTGGATGATGGGGAATGGAAGGATTTATACTTCTTGCAGACAGCTGGTCATTTGCATCCTTTGAGAGAGTCCTTGAGGCCACTTGGAGGTTTATCTGTGTCCTCTGGGTCCCTCTGAGTAGTGCTGACGGTTCCTGTAGTCTGCAATTTTTCTGGAAATCCGTTCATACTCCCACACCGTTCGAAGCGTGTTCATCCCAAATTGCGCAGCTAAAACGAGCAGCCAGTCAGAACTGAAGCTTCTTGGAGGAGATGCAAAACGCCTTCAAAAAAAAACAAAAAACAAGAAAAGCCCACTTGCCTCCTGGGGAAAAAAAGCACCTTTGGGACAACCATGACCTGGATGATTGAAAATCTCCATAGACCCGTTACTATTTCAGAGGGTGCTCTTGAATCTTTGATATCCAAAATTTTCCTCATCTGGTACATAAAACCCCTCTTGATTTTAGAATCCAAAGGTTGGTTTTGTTTTTCAGTGTGACCAACTGCCTACCTCATCCCAGGAGACCCAACTAGTAGCTTCACTCTACGACCGGATGACGGAACAGACCTATCCCGAACCCATCAAGAGTTTTGCGGTAGCAACTCGCCCCGAAGCAGTGTTCCATGTTGATATTCTTGGTGAAGGAAGACCGTCTCTCGTGAAGGCCAACAACCAGCTTGGTATGAGCTGGGGAGGGTAAAGAGAATGGGGGAATATTTAACGAGGAAACAGCATGCTGAGTTTGTAGTAGCTTGTTGTCCAGTTTTGGTCTCCACGATGTAGAAAAGATGTGGAAACTCTAGAAAGAGTGCAGAGAAGAGCAACAAAGATGTTTAGGGGAC